GGGAGGGGCTCACCTGAATCTGTTGCTGTGTTCTATAAATGAATGCTTTTCAGACCGTTTTTGCTGAGTTAGAATCTCAGTCTTGCACATCCCATGTAAATACAGCGTTTGGTCCTCGGGCAGGTGGGACCTTGATGGCACCTGTAAGTCCGTGTGGGCCTGGAGCAGGGTGCCATCTCCAGTCTCTCACAACACAGAGGCTTACTTCCCATCCCTTCGCCTTAGACTCAGCTTCGAGACTTATGGTACAGAAAGCTGCAGACAGGCGTGAAAGGCCCATGCTCCTTTTTTCCTGCCTGTCCTCCCAGGGCTCAGGTGACAGACTGTAGTTTGGTCTGTCTGTAACATGGCTACGTGCCATCTTCTAATATTTGAGAGAAACTATTTGGACCCTTTAGTATAAATGTTTGTCATCTTAATATTTTTCAGTGATAAATTAAACCTTCTTTTCTGTTTATTTGAACATGACATTACCTGAAAAAATGAAAGGAGTTTTAACACTTCCCTTTTCGCAGGTTATAGTCACAGTATTGTGAAACCATCACCACTGTCCATTTCTAAAACTTTGTTATCATCTCAACTGGAAAAGTAGTCCCATTGTCACTTCATCTGCATATATTCTCAGATACTTTGCATCTGACCTAAAAGAGTCAGTTCTAAGACTATATGTTGCCCAACCTCCTGCCTGGTAGACACAGTTTCAATCCAGTCTTTTCCACATTGAGAAAGAAAATGTCTTACTTATAATAGCCCATAGTGTATTTGAAGATCATTAAGTCACTCAACAGACATTATTTCTGAACAGAACAACCCAACTTCTTTAACTTCTTGCCCTTGTTCCTTTCACAATGTTTTCATTAAGTTTCTCAATAACCTCTAAATAGTACAGAACTGTGCATGATACTGTAGTAAAAGTTGACTGGTATCGAATATGGTGCTAGAATTATCTCTGTTCTTTAAAATTCTTGTAATCCATTCTTTTGTGGAGAGTTACCAAGTACGATTTGGTCATGGGTAAGAAAGAGGAGCAAGGTGTTGAGATAAACAGCGTCTGATCAGAGCAGCTGCTGCTTGCCACAGACCTGCAGCGTCGGCCTGTTGCCCACAGCAGCGTCAGTAGCCTCCTTATTGTCTAAATTGTCTTTGTCATAGTGAGACTCGTTATACCCCCATACACCTGCACCCTTCTTTTCCTAATTCTCTGGTTAGTATTAGTATCCACCTAGTGGTATCACCAAGTTAGAAACCTCAGCGTTATTTTATTCTTCACCACTCCTGGCCCCTTTCCCACATAATCGCCAGGTATTTGATGAAACTCCTAGAGGTCCCTCTCTCCATCCCCGCTCTCCCAAGTCACGGTACCAACAGTCATTGCCATTCACGTAGAACTCGCTTGCTCTAGCCATACCATGGCTTTACCATTATATTGTTTTCTAAAGTACAGAGTGATTACTTACCACCCTTATGTTAAAAGAGAGGGTGTATTTAAAATTATTGAGAGTAATAACCTAGTATCTCCAGTCTAAAGTTATTCTTCCAAACCTGGCATGAGGCTTAATGGGTAACTTCACTGTATGTTTAAAGTTCATCACTTGAAAATTTCTTATGAATCTTAAATTCCAAGCACTCAGAGCTACTGTTCAGGAAAAGAGATGGAGCGACCAGGTCTGGGGCACAGCTCACGCCACAGGAGCTCCTTCCGCAGGCGGCTGTGATGTCATTTCCTACCGTCTGCGCCCTCTTCACTGGCTGTGTAGCTGAGATATGGGGCCTCCCACCAGGCCGTGTTGCCCCCTCCTTGCCCCTCTGTCTAAAGGAAACAACCCAGGATGCCGGAGACCACGCACACATCAGCATTCCTGCAGGGGTTGGCCGTCTCTCTTATAAGAACTTTCCTTTCAGCCTAGCCCTTCTCCAACCTCCTCACTGCCTTGTGTGTTGCTGCAGTCCTCTGCCCTTCATAACATGCTCACACACAGTCCGAGGCTGAACGCTCCCTACCAAGTGAGGCCCATGCCTGCTCTTCTGCAGACCCCTCACGGCACCAGCTTGGCCCCCGGGGCCCCTGCTCCCAAGTTGTTGTTATTTGTATTTGTATTTGTTGTTGATTATTTTGCTTTGACTTTGGACAATGAAATGTTTCTAAACACCAGTGGGGCAGCCTACAGTGAGAATCCCCCTCTATGCTTTTACTGTCTTTCCTCAACTTAGAATCTGGTGTTAAACAGCAAAATCCAAGTTGCATTTTCAGCCTTGTGAATTTTCAGAGGTATAAGGCATAGAACTATAAAATGGAAATTGTGACAACTCATATTTGTTCTTCGAAACAAAGGTTTATTCCAGAATTGTCATGACTTTTTTCTCTCCCTGAAGAGGAATTCTCAGGAGCTATCATAGATCCAATCACTAGATCAGAGGCAGAACTTTAAAAAGACAGTATCCCTTTCCTGTGATGTGTCAGGGTTTGTATGGAGAAGTAAGTTGGCACTGACTCAAGAACCCGGCAGAGTGTGGCTTAGCCAGGGGCAGCTCCACCAGAGGAGTCCTGGGTGCCAGCCAGCGCCCCCTGAGATCAGTCTGCCACAGCCTTTGAGCCTGTGTGATGTCCCAGATCCAAAGAGCTGAGAAAAAAAACCCTGCAGGAACCAAGCTTCTTCTTGCCCAAATTGTGCTGTTAACTAGTCAGGAAAGTATGTTTGGATGTTGCTGCTTAACATCACATTTGCCCATAGAGTTCTCTTTCAGAAATCCTCCCAGCGCTTTTCCAGACACACCCTGTTCCACAGACTTCTTGAAGGTGTGAATTTTGCCTGCTCTGCATTATTTAAATTGTGCTTGGTCATTCATTCTCATAAAATCTGGAATATGATTTATTATTTCTACATTGTAATGTTCACAGGTATTTGATACAAGAAACAGTTTTATTATAAAGTTTTTCTCTTCCTGAGCATAAGCCAACACGTTACAATACTGCATACTTGGAAATCACTGTCTTTTAGGTGTTCACCATGTTAGATTTCTGTGTTCACTGTGTTGAATATTTATTTATTTATGCATAGAAAAATTACGAGTGTAGGCCAGAGGTTCGGGGTGAGAGGATTTACCAGAGACAAAGTGGCGAGTGGAACAGGCAGTTCTACTGAAATACACTGCTGAGGGGAGCAGTGGGCAAGACAAGAGAGGTCTGCTGCACCCTGGCCAGGGATTGAACTCAGGCCACGGTGATGATAGTGCTTAAGACTTAAACACTAGGCCACCAAGGAGGGGCCCCATGTTGGATATTAAACACAGGGTCAATATTTTTATTATTTAAAAATTGAAAAAAAAAATTGAAGACACTTATTTCAAAGCACTATACAAAAGTCCCCTTATGTCAGTAATATCAGTGATGTGTCCATATATTCATTCAGCAACTAAATGACAACTAACCTGATGGCACAAAATCCCTAGATCTGTATACAGCTAACCAGTTCTGCAGAACAATCTGGCTTACATGATGCCAAGTGCATTAAAACAGCATGCTATTAAATGTGCTGAATTTATTTGCAAGGACTATGTTTTTCCTAGTAGCTATGTTCTCTTGGCCTTTTCTCATGGTTTAAGTTTCAAGCATTCCATAGATTGTGAGTGTATATTCTTACCCTGGCATAAGACTTATTTTAACACCCAGATTAAAGGGGGGAACCCACTTCTCTTAATCTTTGTGGTGATACTGACTGATACACAAGTTAAGATACCTAATAGACACTGGCATCTTTATACTTGCATAATTTTAGAGTCATCTTTAGTATTTATTAAGTACCCCCACTGTAGCACAGAGATAATCTTAGTTTAAAAAAATAAAACATGGCCCTCCCTGGTGGCGCAGCAGGTTGGGGCACAGCACTGAGAGTCTAAAGCCACTTCCGCATGAGTTTGATTCCCGCCTGCCCCTGAAGTGACCTGCATGACACGGCAGACCTCTCCTGGCCCGCCCGCTGCTCCCCTCAGCAGTGTACTTCGTTGATCTGCCTCTACTGTTCCCCACTCTGTCTCTGGTGAAGCCTCTCGCCGCCCCTGAGCCTCTGGCCTGTACCCCAGTTCTGTATGCACAAATAAATAAATCTTTAAAAATAAATAAATAAATAAAACATACCTCAAAGGAAAAAGAATCTTAAAGATAAGTTAATGCAGATGTTCTAGAGATACTGTGGATATACTTTACTGAGCTGTGAATTTAAAAATGGTTAAGATGGTAAATTTTAGGTAATGAATTTTTTTTTCCATTATTGCAGTTAGTAACAAAGTAGAGGTAGCTCTGGATTTGATCCAGGCAGAGCTGGCCAGGGGCAGTGCCTGAAGTGAGCAGGTGCCCTAGACACCCCTGGCCTGAAGCACAGTGCCAGGGTATCACCCCTATGACTTAGAGCCCCATAAGGGACAAAACCTCCTCCTTGCCACAGATGTGTCTGTTCCTACATTGTCCTCTCTATGCCTGTGCCACAGCCCATCCTGGGAAAGCTCTGCACCCCAATGGATGCCACACATTCTCCCTGGACTTGCACCTAGCATGAGTGGTTGGGGATGAACCCCACCCACACCCCCTGCCTTGATTTCCACCCCAAGTGAATGACTGTGGCAGATTCCACAGAGGATTTTGTCCCTGTAGTCCATCATGGCCTTCTGTGCCAGCCTGTCTTCCTATGACCTTCACTCAGAAAACATTTCCAAAGAGGGAGTTGAAAGTTCGTCCCAGATAAAACACACTCAGGAAACAAGCCTCTTTTGTCATAAGAGAATTTGGTCAGAAAGCGATTAAAATGATGAGCACCAGGAATATGATCAGTTTCTTCAGATCTTCTCTTCTTGCCTTTAATTTTCATGGAATGTTTAAGTTTCTCTAAGTTTACATCCAAAATCAATAATCTTTCCCATTTTCAAAAAAAGATTTTTTTTGGGGGGTGTGGATTATTTCTCCTCTTGCTTATTAATAGTGCTGTATTTGGCCTTGTTTCCATTAGGAGATGAAAGCATGGAAATTAAAAAACAAATTACAGGAATGAGAAGGTTACTGAATGACAGCACTGGGAGGATATACCAGCGTGTTGGTAAGGAAGGAGAAAAACTCAAGGAAGAACCCCAGGATTTGGATTCCATCTGGCCTCAGCGTTTGAACTCCTCTGCTGACACCCCACAAAGCCTCCACCCTCCTTCACGTGGTGTGTGGAATGAGCTACCACCCCAAGGCGGGCAATTCTCAGGGCAGTATGGCACCCGCTCTAGAACCTTCCAGACTCAGCCCCACCCTGCTGTGAGCTCCAACGGTATGCTTGGTCCTTATCAGTATTTATAATGCTCTTATGGGGGCTTGTCCAAATGTGTTTCAATTAGAAGAATTCAGCATGTTCTTTGAGTTAATACAGTGTATGTTTTATACCCTCCCTTAATCACAGTTCCTAGCTAAGTTAATTTAAAAGAATGGGAAGACAGAGTAGACAAGGTTGAAGGGGCTGAAAAAAACAAGATTAAGAAGCAGAAAAGACTGGAAGTTCCATATTAGACCAGATGATTTCTTAGTAGAGAGTCAAAAAAATTATAGCTATCATTTGTTGATATACAGATAATTATTGTCACAAAAGACTGAACATTAGGTAGAAAGAGCTCACCTTTGTCCTTTGAAGTGACTTCCTGGCCATTTGGTCTTATCCTCTTGCTTATGCCCTCACTTTTCTTCTTGATCAGAGGAATCATAGTTAAAGGGACCTTACTGTCATCCCATTGACACCTCCCTCAGCCTCACACTGTAGCCAGTGAACCAAGTGACTCATGTTTTATAACTTGCTTCATTAGAGTTGAAAATTATTCCTTTAATGTAAAATGTCCTCACTGCGAATTTCTAATTTTTAAGCAAAATACCAAACAGCAAATTATTTTTCAAAGCTTAAGGAACAAACTTGATTTTTCCAGTTATTTTAATGTTTCATCCAGTGACACTGGATGTTACTGGTTCTATAAATTATAGATGTACAAATTTATGTTTTCACAAAATAACAAGAAGAAAGTAAAGATGCATTTTCAGTTTCCTTGAAAAATTAAGGATTTTTCCCCCTATTCATTATCCTTCAAGAAAAACAAAGCTTTTTTGGAGGGTTTTTTTTTCTTTCAATATATATTTTTAAATATTATAATAATTTTTACATCACTGTATGCATTTTTTTCTTCTTGGAGGGTTTTTTTTAATGCAATTTATAATAAATAACCAATTCAGAGGCATGAAAAACCATCCAGAGACCTCTGATGAACCAGTGAGGGACCACAAGAGATGGATAGGTGTCTTCTCTTTCTTTCAATATTACATAAGCCAATATCAAATTCACTCTCTGGCCTTTTTCCAGGTTAGAGGGAGATGGCTCTTTAAAGACTCCTCCATAAAATAAAAAGTCAGTTCTCTTTAAAATTAGAAAATGATTTATAACAAGCTGAAAAGGGTTGGTTTTGTCCTCTAAAAATGCTAAAAATAGTACTCAGGATAGTGACTAGAAATACTCTGTAAGGCCCTCCCCCCAATTCTCTGGCCATAGAAGACACAATAAGGAAAATAAAATGCTCCTAGGCATATATGAAGTTAGTAAAGCCATTTTAGTGGGGTCGGGGGAGGGGGGTATTGGGGTAAACACTGCTGTATTTTCTAGCATATAACAAAGATGGTAAATTTACTTTGGAAAATGTTATTAATGTTGCAAGTTACAAACATAAATTCCCTCAAACCTTATTTAAAAATAGCCTTTTGTGTTTGTCCATTTTCAATAGAAATGTAGTATATATATAGATATAGATACAGATACCTTTGACTACTTCGGTATTTCATTGGAATTATTTGCAATTTTAAAGTTGTTACATCTCTATTTGCTACAACTTTGAGTGTAAATAATTGTGCTACACCAAACAGTAAGTTATCTTTAAATATTTCATATTTTTGCTGTGGTGACTTTTTTATAGTATCTACAAATAAGGCATATTGCAGCATTTAAATTACATGTAATGTACAAGATAGGATTGGACCAAGACATAGAATTTACCTCTTCCACCCACAGACAACGTAAGTGAGGGCCGTCTCTCTCAGGGATCCCTTCATGGTGGTGTGCACAGGTCTGAGGCCAGGGGCAGTGCTGCCGGGTGGTTTTCCAACTGTACCATTTTACTCTGAGGACAATAGAAAGATATCCATTTACATGTAAGGGAAACAGAATAGGATAGTTTCATTAAAACAAAGATATTATATTTAAACAGTGAAAAAGAGACTAAGGTGAGGGAATAATAAGAAATAGGAATGGAAAAAAGATGTAGGAGGATCTCCCCTGTTAAGTGGGAGCACGCTTTCTTGCATCACGTTTAAATCCACTCTCCCTGCACCTTGATGTTTCCCCACCCCGTATACACCACACCCAGTGAGCAACCTACAAGATTGTTTTGTTGTTGTTCTACAAGTTTTAATGTGTTCCCAGTTCTCAGTTTTTTAAATAACATGTTTAAAGCCAGAACTATTTTTAATAGACATTCAGTGCTTAATATGAATCCTGTAACATATGCGACTCACTAGATATAGTTGGACTTTTTTTTTTTTAGGTAAACCTGTTCTCAGGACTAATTTTTTGTGCCTGAGTATGTTTCTAGTGAATCTGTATGGTATTGTCGCTGGCAGTGGCCTGGTGTAACAGGTGCCTGCTGGGCCACGCATCATGCACACACATTCCTGCAGGCACCCCCCCACCCCCCATGAATCAGCATGTACCTGCAGTATAGAAGGCTGGATAATTAGATCAGGTCAGACCCCAAAACTTAGGTTGTGAAAATTACTGGGTATGTTTTCCTGTGGAAAAGTTCTATACTAATTGCACATACTTCATGTACATGCTTCAAGAGCCTATCGAGATACCTTATTTTCCCCTCTCCTCTCTATAACTTTGTTATTGTTTGGAATATGTCATTCTTTTCTTTCATGCTTAGGAGAACTTCCAGTGGTGAATTCGTCGGTTGGATCAAACTGCTGTACTTGCAACTGCCAGTCCACACTACAGGCCATTCTCCAAGAACTCAAGACCATGCGGAAGTTAATGCAAATACAAGCAGGTACAAAGATCAGGCCTTGGATTGAGGCCTTTGGTTTTTACCTGACATCTTCAATTGGGAGGTTTATTTAATAGTTTCTGTTATTTAGTTCTTCCCACCCAGCTCCCATGCTGTGCTTCCTCAAGTAGCCGTTTTTCTCTTATTTTTTCTACAGTCCACTTTTCCTTTGGCAAATCTAATAAACTTTTTAGCGCTAATCATACTACTCATTTACTGATGTACACATGCTCCATGTACCTCACCCATGTACTCCTAGATGCCATGAATAGTCAGCTAATTAAATTTTGAAACAATTATACATGAAAGTAGGCAGAATTCTTCAGCTCATTTTCCTAATGTGCATCAACAAGCAGTTTCACTTCAAGAAAGAAATTGAGTCTCACTCATCTTACCATCTGAGGTGCTCAATCTGGGAGCTGCATGCATCTTGACAACCCTTACTCACTCTGCTAGTTCCTAGTGACAGTCGGGAAGGCATGCAACGTTATCTATAGGAAGGAGACCTCTTGGAAGTGTGGGCTCCAGTAGTGAAGACATTCTGGAGTACAAGCAGTCAACATTGTCCCGCATACGCTGCTTGTGGCTTTTCTCCCTATCAGTTTGTCAAGCTTACATGAAAGTAAGGTGAGCAGAAGTCTCTCTGAAAAGCAGTGTCTTAACTTTATGTACTGGATTTGGGTTGATCCCCAGCTAAAAATAAACATTTTGGTAGGCAAGGAAGCATTTGATTCACCTTGTTCTACCATGATAATCTATATTCTTATTAACCTGGCAAAGGTTAACATCCCCTAAATAAGAAGCTCAGAAAGAAAGGTTACTTCATTATGTGCGGATTCTTCTCTCAGAGGACGAATTTGTTAGCACTTAAGAAATTATGCATATGAAATTGTAATGATTTATTTTGTTACTTAAGCTCCTTACAACTGAAATGGCAAGCTACAATTTGCAACCATTTAAATCCTTGACTGAAGCCTTTTTAGAATCTATTAAGTAAATGCCACTTTGTCACCATGTTTTCTTTTCTGAACCTTTACAGATTAGGACAGTAAATGATTCCAAGGCTGTAGGATAGCAGAAAGGATAAACTGAATAAATTACTCTTCTTTAATTTTCTTAAACTTAAGAATTTGTGTTGTGTGGATAGATTTACTTAAGCTTTATTGCCTATAAGACTTAGGTTTAAATTATATTTAGGAAGATTCACCTTTACTTTAGGGAGAAAACTTAGGGATGAGATCAAGTGATAAGGTCTAGATAAGATAGAAGAGACCAGAGCTATGTCAAAGCTTTCAGGAGAAAGCTCAAAGAGTCCCTGCATTTTTAAAATCCAAAACCATTGCCACTTTTCATTTAGAATCTGGAGACTGGAGACTTGGAGAGACTTGCATACTATACCATATTCATAATTGCTTCTGTTGTCCTTTTGACTTTGGGGATGGAGACCTAGTGTTGAGTGAAAAGTCAGCTAGAACAGAGAGAAAAGATCTCTCTGGCATGCACATTGGAATCACGTGAGTCTGAAAAAAATGCCAGTGCCTGGGACCCATCCCCTGTTTTCCAGTTCACTTAGTCTGGGATAAGGCGGAGGTGAGGATGTTATCTGAAAACTCTAGGTGATTTGAGTCTAATGTGCAACCAAGGCCAGGAACCAGAAAGCTAGACTAACTACTGCACAGGAGGTTAAAAAAGATTTTCAGTGCTCATATGTTTCTAATAATTTATGTATTTCTTTCCAATTTTAAGATTGAAACGTCAAGTTCAAATTTAAATATTCTATTTTTTGCAGATGAATAGGAAGTGACCCCATATTTGTGTGTATTTAAAGATGTTTAGTTTTCATTTGGCTTATATTTAAAAATGTATTTCTGTCAAAAAGCAGATATAGCCCAGGGTCATATTTTGCAAGCCATATTAATCCTTGGAGGTTTAAATAATAATGCTCTATTTTCCTATTAATCTTTCCATCAGAGTATTGTTCAATGGTTAGCTGACATTACTTCTCACAGAGTATCTATAAAACTGTAATCACCAATCTTGACTTCTATAAGTGCATGTTCAATTTTAGTGCTTAGTCCATGTTGAATATGTTCATTTTTGAAGCCCAGACAGTTTCTAGGTTTTACTAATTTGCTTGACTTGCTCGCAACTCTATTAGTCCCTTGATTCAACTCCATGAAGCCAAGGCATGCCATGGCCTGCTCCAATCTAGTAGCAGAGTGCTGTGGAGATTGATGAGTGGACAATACTGGTTTGGAAAGGAAGGGACTGCTGGACCTGATAAGTGACTAGCAAGTTTCCTCACTTACTGATAATCTGTTATAGGAGCATCTCTGTTTCTTGTCAGTCTTGCCCAAATGTTCGTCTTTGGCAATTTTGGCATCTGTAGGCTAGTAGCCATCAAGTAGTTTCCTCTCAAATAATTGGAATATTCCTACAATTGACTTACCAGAGAGCGTAGACTTCTGCCTTTCTCATTTATATCAAATCATGCTCAGGTGTTTTCTCATGATTCATTATCTTTTCCTTCCACTGAACCAGCAGCAGTGGCACAGTATGGTTACTCACCTGGTTTGGAGCAGCAGAGTTTTCTGTTGTTTTCTAGCCACTGAACTTTGAAGCATCCCCATTTGGTCACCCCCAGTTCCAGCACCAGTTTTTTTTTTTGTTTGTTTGTTTTTTACGGTGCTTCCTTCTTCAGCAAGCCTCATTTCAAGCTCAGCCTGTGGGTCGTGTGGATAGAGGGGTGATCGTTTTCCTAAATTAGACACAAGTGCCTGTACCCTGTTTTTGTTTATTCACAGTTGGAACCCAAAACAGACAACAACCCCCAATTTCCCTTATGTGCTCCCAGCGAACTGCTGTCTCACGCAAGCGAAATAAAAAGAAAAAAGTGCCCCCAAAGACTGTTGAGCCTCTTACTGTGAAACAGAAGCCCAGTATGTTAGAAACTGAGAAGACATCACTTACCTCTGAGCAGTCTGGTTTCCAGACTACTGAATGCACCTCCACTGAGGAGAACCACCTCCTAGGATTTGGTATTGTTCTCGAATCACCTTCCTCAGATGTAAGTAGATATTTTCTAGCTACTGACACTTATGTGCTATAACTTTTAGGAATTTTATATTATGAATACACTTTCTTCTTAACTTAGTCTGCCCAAAAACACTAGAGAAACTTGCAGAATACACATAGGAAAGGAAAAGTATTAGTAAATACCTAGAATTTTCTCTTTCGTTGAAAATATTACTCATTATTGATTTTAACATGTTTTCATTCTTTGTCTCTGAAAGAAGGATGATAAATAATCTCCTCACTAATTCCTTTAATATTTTTAATTTTACTGTGGCCATTTTCAATTTCCTCAGTTTAGGAAGCTGAAAAATCATAATTAAATCCTTTGTAGATGGGCATAAGTGAAGAGAACCTTGCAGATAAGGTCACACCTTTCTAGAAACACAAAACTAATAATAAAATAAAGAGCAGTAGTGTTAATTCTATTTTATAGATGCAAGCTACACTGCTAATTAGGTTGCAGAGCCATGCCATTTACTCTGTATAATGATAGGTTAATGCTCTGCAAAGGTTTTTCTATTTTAATATAATAGCTAGAATGTTGTTGCAGTCAAAAGATGTTGGATGACATCTAAGATAGCTGTCTGACTAGCCATTTTATACATGTACTGATTTCTTTAGTAATGTGATGTATTTGCACCTGTGCAGCCTATTTCCAATATCTTTGAGTAAGTACATTGATGCTGTGAACTCCAACTTGTTGGGAGAGTTCTTAAAATAAACAAGAATGGGTGATCTATTATTATCAGACTGCATAGGATGAAGAATCCTGCTGAGAACTCCCACAGGCCTATATAGGACTGGAGTTTGGCCCTACCTTTTAAACTTTAAACTATTGCTATTTTTGTAAAGTGTTTGCTTTCAAATTACAGGAAGATAATTTGCTGGCATATATCCACATTGAGTCTTTAATAATAGGAGGCGACAAAAATAGTTATTTGGTGACTTTAGATTAGAAAATCATTTAAATTTTTATCCAATGTTAAATGTTCGTTTGTTTGCTTTCTTGTTAATGAACACTTGATGTAATTGTTTAGAAATTCCTTCAGACAAAAAACTTAATTTTAAAAAATTATTAATGATGATACTGTTCAACCTCAGACAATTCCAGCTTATGTGATTATATAATATTGTTATTGTGTCTAAAGTCCTAGGTTCAAAACTTATGCAGAACATGTATTTGGAAACAGAAGTCAGTTATAACATGCTTTCAGTGTAAAGCAGTTTTCACTATACTTTTATTTTTTAACATTCTCAGTAGTCTTTTATGATTAGTATTGATTTATCAGGAGTAATTCATTGTTTATAAATCACCTCCTTAATGGTTGATATAATGCTAATAATTGACCTTTCTCCTTTTTAGTTTTTTTTTACTTTTAAGCACCAAGTGTATACATCAGAGATAAATTGAGGAAGACTGATAAAGGCTATATATACATTAGTGAAATAGAATAGAGTTTTTCTAATATTTACCAATTTCAGTAAAATAACTTTATATATCAAATAAAAATAATTGTTTTTATTAATGATGTTTTCTAACAAAAGCTACTAAAATAATATAGTGCACTGAGACTTGTCCATAAAAATTGAGCTGGGTGTTATCTTTGAAGAATAACATACTACTAAAGAAAAGCAAAAAACTTATGTGTGTGTGTGTATACTGTCCCTACGTTTTTCAGCAAATGCACCATTCAATTGATCTAGTCATCAAAAACTAACCTAGAAGACCCTGCAATCACTAGATAAGGAAGGTTGTCAGTAGACTGTATTCACTGGCATAAGGAGTCTAGAATCTGCCTGACTCTGCACCCAGGGCAGTGTTGCTGGGGCATGGGTCATCAATATAATACTCTTTCAAGAATTATTTTATAAAACAGAATGGAGAAAAGAAAATGGAGTTGGATACATACATACATACATACATACATATATATAAAATATAGTAGATGAAAATTGAGCATTTAGAGATGGCCTTTGGAAAGTAGCCACGACAGGGAGGATTAGCTTCAAAGTTGAAGGATTGGGCAAATGCTCAGGCAGCCGTCTGGCCAGCTTTGCTAGCAGTGATGATTTAAGGATACAGAAGGAGCCTCCCTGGTGGCCTAGGGGTTAAGTCTCAGCTTTGTCCCTGCTGCAGCCTGATTTTGATCCCCAGCCAGGGAACTGACCCACATATGGTGCAACAGACCACTCCTGTCTCACCTGTTGCCCCCATCAGCAGCGCATTCCAGTAAATTTGCTTTTCCTGCTCCCCACTCCGTCTTTGGTGAGTCCTCTCAACCCACCCCCACGCTTCTGGCCTACACGCCTGTTCTTCTATGCATAAATAAACTAATTAATTTTTTTAAAAGTTTTCAGTGGGGTGAGTTAAAGTCCCACTATGTCATGCAAGACCCTTGACCCTTGTCTTGTGAGCCCTAAGGAGCCACTGCAGAGTTCAAGTGGAGGAATAATCACACCTGTGTTCTAGAGTGGAAAGCAAATTAACATGTGGATGATAAGATAGATGAAAAAAAAAGATTCTAAAAACAGAGAGGCCAGAAGGAAGATAATCAAACAGTAAAGACAGAGATGGTCTTTACATGAGGAGTGAGCCTGAAGAGAAAGAACAACGAGGCCTTTAAGAAGGTACTTGGTGACTCAGTAGAAAGTAAACCTCAAGTATCTATCATGGAAACATAGGTTTCTTATACAGTGCTGACTTCAGTAACTGAGAAAGGGAAAGTAAAGACTGTCAGCCCTGGATGGGAAGTACAAGTAAGTTTAGAATCCTTAAAATGTTTACTAGACACTAAAGCACTGAAGAAAGGTTAGGACTAGAAGCAGTGAATTTTATTGTAGAATTTTAAAAATTTCACAGTGTATTAAGTTATCCCGTCTACACTGTAGTGTTACCCAAATTAGTGCATATTGGCATATCCATGCATAAACCTGAACATGAGGGCAGGGGCCTGGCTATAGATCATTGCAGGTAGACCACAGATCTGATGGAAAGTGAGGAAACTGAGCTCTAATTAAAACCAACTGTGATATCAGTAGTTCAGAGTATTATAAACACTGAAAGATAGCGAACATAGGAAAAAACCTTGTTGAAGGCTGGCTCATAAATGTTAGTCTGCAAATGATAAAACTTGTGCACGTGCATCGAGCAAAGGGTACAAAATAGACTTAAAGTCTAAGAGTAGGTTTTAATTAGAACCCTCTTCCCGGTGTGACTCCTATTCATTTTTGTGATTCCTCCCTGGATACACTCCCACACGCTCCTCCTTGGTCTCCCTCCTCTTCCCCTCCCTGCTCTACCCCTCCACACAGAACTTCCTATACTGGTTTGTAATTATTTACATGATTTCCTCTCCTTCCTCCCAGCTTCCCAAGGACAAGGAACTATGTAATAATAATAGTTGTGTGCCATCCTGGGCTAGATAATTAATCACGTTCCAGCCTCACTCTTCAAGGTATTATTGTAGAAGTTATTATTATAGAAGAGGAAACCGAGGCATAAAGGGGCTCTGTGGCCTACTCAAGTTCACACAACTAGAAAGGCAGAGCTAGTTCCCAGATCACAGCCAGAAAGTGCTTGTGTGGCAACTGACGTATCAAAGAACTAAGATTAGTCTGTGGTGCTGTTTACTCCATTACTTGGCAGTTTCTGGGGGAGAGCCTGATGGTCATGGCTGCAGCCTCTGACCTCACCCTGCCCAGGCAGCATATCCGTGTGACTCCAGGAAGCCTACTAGTCTTGGCCTCCTATAGTTTTCTCCCCATAAAGCAGGGATAATAATAATACTGACCTAGAGCTGATCTCCTGGGAAAGTTAAATGAAATAACCTATGTAAAAGTACCTAAAATAGTAGGCAGTACTTAAGCACTTGATATTGACTCTTTTAATAAACATAGGCAGTTTATAGGGACATGTGTAATTGTTTGTTAAATAAACTTATATGTATATATAAATGATGGATATATGTGAACAAAAAGTTTTGTTTTGTTTTTTTTAAAGATTTATTTATTTGTGCATACAGAACTGAGGTACAGGCCAGAGGCTCAGGGGCAGCAAGAGGCTTCACCAGAGACAGAATGGGGAGCAGAACAGGCAGATCGACGAAGTACACTGCTGAGGGGAGCAGCGGGCGGGTCAGGAGAGGTCTGCCACGTCATGTGGTCACCTCCGGGGCAGGCGGGAATCGAACTCATGCGGAAGTGGCTTTAGATTCTCAGTGCTGTGCTTTAACCCGCCGAGCCACCAGGGAGGGCCCAACAAAAAGTTTTTAAAAAGACAGAGGCCAGAAATGTTTTACTTTGGGGATAGGATAATTTGATCCATTTTAAATTAGCATATTAAATAAAAGTCATACATTAATTATACAAAAGCAAAAGCAGAAACCCAAAATCAATTTCAGGCATATGTGATATGTAATTCTTCGTTTATGAGATACTAGTACTCAGATAAGAGAGTTGTGAATTTTTTAGTCACTATTTTTTCCTACTTGGCTATATATTCACTGATTTGTGTTTTTCAGATCAGGTATATATGACCTGCTTATTTTATTGTTGTTGCTTTTCACTTAACTTTTTTTTTTTTTTTTAAGTTTACTTTGGGGGCAAAAAAGTTTACTTTGGTAAAACCTGCAGATAAGGCCCTCCCTGGTGGTGCAGTGGGTTAAAGCACAGCACTGAGAATCTAAAGCCACTTCTGCATGAGTTCGATTCCCACCTCCCACCTGCCCCAGAGGTGACCACATGGCGTGGCAGACCTCTCCTGACCTGCCCGCTGCTCTCCTCAGCAGTGTACTTCGTCGATCTGCCTGTTCTGTTCCCCATTCTGTCTCTGGTGAAGCCTCTCACCACCCCTGAGCCTCTGGCCTGTACCCCAGTTCTGTATGCACAAATAAATAAATCTTTAAAAAAAAAAAAAACCCGCAGATAAGTTTTTTAAAATATTCTTATAATAATTTTTAATAGTATAAAACTTTTTCCCATTTGTTCTAGTTA